GTCCAGAAGAAAATTAAACTTTAGATTACATGATTAAAAAGCATGATAGCATCTAAATGACAAGTCTATCTTTCTTTCAGTTTATTATTAAACACTCTTGTTTATTCAAGAAAAAAAAAGGAGGAGGATCAAAAGAGAAGTATTCCTGACTTAATAAGATACATGTACCAACTAAATGTTTTATTAACCACAAAACCTACATCTGTCAAAATATAAAACTGTCTGTGTACAAATATTATAAGATACATGTAAATAAATGTTTTATTAACCACAAAACCTACATCTGTCAAAATATAAATGAAGTGCTTTACTCACAAATTTGATAATATATATATACATGTAAATGTAAAAATAAAAAGATCAAACAACTTTTGTCTTCAGCAATTTTTTAAGCAATACATTCACATTTAATTGTAACAATATATATACCTGTCCAAAGAAAATTAAACTAGTTAACATTGTCTACAAGTTTATAAAGCATGATAACATCTACAAATGACAAGTCCCTTGTCATTTATATTTCTCTATCCTGATATACCTTGTCAAAGAACTGATCTTCCTTTCATTATTATAATCATTGTTTATTATAAGCACATTGTTGTTAATTGAAGAGGTGGGGAAAAAATTTCCTTTTCTCAAAAAAGAACAGGTTTTAATGAGTAATAAGATATCAATTAAATGATTTATTATCAACACAACCTTACCTTTTTCTTTGCCAGAGAACCCTGCTCCATTTTGCCCAACTCTAAAAGAGTGGTGTGGGCCTGAAAATAAAAGAAATACTAGATCAAACTTTCCATAAACACACAATGACATACTGATGCACTGTTAGGGCAAAACATTGCTAAGATTTAACCCCTAGGTCATATGAGGTAAACACAAATATTGGATACTCCATAAAATCTGCTGAAAAACCAACCTATCTAAAGATTGGGCAAAGGTTACAATTTGTTTAAATGTTTTTAAGCAGGTCAAATTCCAGGATTAATTTAATGGATTTAAAGGGGTTTCTTTGAATTCAAAGGTAATTGGATGTCCAGATATGATTTACCTTAGAGAAGTTGTTGGTCTGTATATTATGGAGCCAGCTTAGAGATTTAATGTCCTCCTTTTGTAGAAATCTACCCAGTTCTCTCTGTTGACTGATTGGTAAAGCCAGGAGCTTTCCTCTCTTACCTGAACATACAAACATTAACAACTCATACACGTGAAATTTTATAAATATCAAATATGTATAAATAACTTCTTACATGTTCAGGTTTTATATTTATTCGTTAGGATTATGCTACCTACCTTCTTTCATGTACCATGTGTATAGGAAATTTGCAAAACCCTGAAAAAATAAATATTTTAATTAATTATTTTCAATAATTGTTACCATTCTTCATTATATATAAAACTGATTTACTTCTCTAACTGTCATTAAAATAAATTGAAAATTATTTTTATATCATTGCATTTAAACATACTGTCTGAGAAGATGTAGAAAAGGTGTACCTTGTCAGAGAAATGATGTAGATATTTCTTTATCCTGTCTATTTATAGACATACCTTGTAAGAGAACTGATGTAAGATAAATTTTCTATCATGTCTATTATGCATACCTTGTCAAGCTTTGTATTTCTCTATCCTGTTTATTTATATATACCTTGTCAGAGAACTGATGTAGTATTTTCTATCTTAAAGTTTTTTTTTTTTAATTAAAAAGATATACCTCGTCAAAACGTGATGTAGATATTTCTCTATTCTGTCTAATAATTACCTTTTGTTTATCCGTCTCTTTATAGATATACGTTGTCAGAAAACTGATGTAGATATTTCTCTATTCCGTCATTTAATAGACATACCTTGTCAGATAATTGATGTATTTCTCTATCCTGTCTATTTATAAACATAACTTGTCAGAGAACTGATGAACATATTTCTCTATATTTTCTATTTATAGACATACCTTGTCAGAGAACTGATGTAGATATTTCTCTATCCTGTCTATTTATAGACATACCTTGTCAGAGAACTGATGTAGATATTTCTCTATTCCGTCATTTAATAGACATACCTTGTCAGATAATTGATGTATTTCTCTATCCTGTCTATTTATAAACATAACTTGTCAGAGAACTGATGTACATATTTCTCTATATTTTCTATTTATAGACATACCTTGTCAGAGAACTGATGTAGATATTTCTCTATCCTGTCTATTTATAGACATACCTTGTCAGAGAACTGATGTAGATATTTCTCTATCCTGTCTATTTATAGACATACCTTGTCAGAGAACTGATGTAGATATTTCTCTATCCTGTCTATTTATAGACATACCTTGTCAGAGAACTGATGTAGATATTTCTCTATCCTGTCTATTTATAGACATACCTTGTCAGAGAACTGATGTAGATATTTCTCTATCCTGTCTATTTATAGACATACCTTGTCAGAGAACTGATGTAGATATTTCTCTATCCTGTCTATTTATAGACATACCTTGTCAGAGAACTGATGTAGATATTTCTCTATCCTGTCTATTTATAGACATACCTTGTCAGAGAACTGATGTAGATATTTCTCTATCTTGTCTATTTATTGACATACTTTGTCAGAGAACTGATGTAGATATTTCTCTATCCTGTCTATTTATAGACATACCTTGTCAGAGAACTGATGTAGATATTTCTCTATCCTGTCTATTTATAGACATACCTTGTCAGAGAACTGATGTAGATATTTCTCTATCATGTCTATTTATAGACATACCTTGTCAGAGAACTGATGTAGATATTTCTCTATTCTGTCTATTTATAGACATACCTTGTCAGAGAACTGATGTAGATATTTCTCTATCCTGTCTATTTATAGACATACCTTGTCAGAGAACTGATGTAGATATTTCTCTATCCTGTCTATTTATAGACATACCTTGTCAGAGAACTGATGTAGATATTTCTCTATTCTGTCTATTTATAGACATACCTTGTCAGAGAACTGATGTAGATATTTCTCTATCCTGTCTATTTATAGACATACCTTGTCAGAGAACTGATGTAGATATTTCTCTATCATGTCTATTATAGACATACCTTGTCAGAGAACTGATGTAGATATTTCTCTATCCTGTTTATCTATAGATATACCTTGTAAGAGAACTGATGTAGATATTTTCTATCCTATCTATTTATAGACATACCTTGTCAGAGAACTGATGTAGATATTTCTCTATCCTGTCTATTTATAGATATACCTCGTCAGAGAAGTGATGTAGATATTTCTCTATTCTGTCTATTTATAGATATACCTTGTCAGAGAACTGATGTAGATATTTCTCTATCCTGTCTATTTATAGACATACCTTGTCAGAGAACTGATGTAGATATTTCTCTATCATGTCTATTTATAGACATACCTTGTCAGAGAACTGATGTAGATATTTCTCTATTCTGTCTATTTATAGATATACCTTGTCAGAGAACTGATGTAGATATTTCTCTATTCTGTCTATTTATAGACATACCTTGTCAGAGAACTGATGTAGATATTTGTCTATCTGTCTATCTATAGACATACCTTGTCAGATAACTGATGTAGATATTTCTCTATCCTGTTTATTTATAGATATACCTTGTAAGAGAACTGATGTAGATATTTTCTATCCTATCTATTTATAGACATACCTTGTCAGAGAACTGATGTAGATATTTCTCTATCCTGTCTATTTATAGATATACCTCGTCAGAGAAGTGATGTAGATATTTCTCTATTCTGTCTATTTATAGATATACCTTGTCAGAGAACTGATGTAGATATTTCTTTATCCTGTCTATTTATAGATATACGTTGTCAGAAAACTGATGTAGATATTTCTCTATCCTATTTATAGACATACCTTGTCAGAGAAGTGATGTAGATATTTCACTATTTTGTCTATTTATAGACATACCTTGTCAGAGAACTGATGTAGATATTTCTGTATTTTGTCTATTTATAGACATACCTTGTCAGAGAACTGATGTATATTTCTCTATCCTGTCTGTGTTGTGTGATAACTCACACAGTTGAATCAGGATTTCAAAGTCACAATATTTCTCTGCTAGAGACGCCGCTAACTCGTACTGCTTCCCCTCCACTGTCAACAGAGAATGGTTATGATTTTAAAAATATACTCTGTTACATGTATTTCAAGTCAAGCAGGAGTTAACTTTACAATGCCAATCTGATCATTATGTAGTGTCAGTACTGAATAATACATTTTTTCTGGACTTATAATGTAGCTAGTAAATAAACAATTAACAAGTACATGAATGTGTGTTTAAGTAATTGAAATTTGATGTAAGAAGAAAAATAAACATAACGGTTTTAATATAGCAGTAAAACATCATTCTTTTTCATTTTGTTTTGCTTCACTCTATTCTGTACACAAAACAAGAACTTACTGAGTGGCATAATCAGCTGTTGTCTGTCCTGTTCGTACCGTCGCTGTAGTTCATTAAAGTGCTGCCGTCTACTGACGTTATTTTCTAGCGACTCTAACTGACTGACGTAACCGTCCAGGACGATATCAGCGATGGCGGCCAGCTGTTGGTAGATCCTCTCTTGACCTTCGGGATCTCGGACTTCAGGAATTACCACCTCTATCGTCTTGCTGAACTAAAGTAAATAAAAGTACTAGTCAATAAATCACCACCTGTACTGTCTTACTGAACTAAAAATATATAATAAAGAACTAAATGAATTACTGCCTCTATCGTCTTACTGGACTAAAGTAACCCAGAGACAAATGATAAACAATAAATCACTGCCTCTATCGTCTTACTGAACTAAAATAAACAAGTCATATAATAGGCATTTTCTCACTCAGTAGGCGAATATCAATTTCTTTTCTTTTTGAATGGATCAATAGAGCATTGAAATTGTTTGGCTTTTTTGTATAATATTAATTATGTAAACCGTATTAAACCTGTTTAACAAGGAATGTCCTGATCCCATGATCTCCTCCTGTAGATGTCCAGGGTATGTATTCTGGGATGTCCCCTTGAGGGGCCTCACATTCATACGTTGTAGATTTGGTCTGACGATACTGTAGGGCTTTGTGTAACATTTCCTGTAAATTAAACACAACAGATAAACAGCATAGAAAGTCCCTATATTTTGAATTAAAGTTACTTTAATCTTCTTAAAGAGATGTATTGGGGTCTAATAGTGGGGAAACTTAAAAACATGGTGCATTGATAGACAAAATTCATATGTTTCAGCTGTTATAAAAATCCAATAAAACATTGTACATGAATACTGCAAAAATAATATGGGGCAAACTTGATTCTATCAATATTTACCTGTAATATTTACCTATGTTACTTACCTGTAATATTGTGTTGACTGACGTAATGACCGTGAGAATCTCTGTTACTGTGACATCAGCCATCAGAACTTCCTCCTGGTACGCCAACAAACACTCGACTACTTCCTGTATCCTTGACACCTGTAACAGGTAACACACAAATAGAAAATCACAAAACACACCAACTTCTCTATAAAACAAGCTTTGTGGGGTCAGGTTTAGTACATACCTCTCTGTAAAATAAATCTTGTGGGGTCAGGTTTAGTATATACCTCTCTGTAAAATAAGTCTTGGGTCAGGTTTAGTACATACCTCTCTGTAAAATAAATCCTGTGGGGTCAGGTTTAGGGAAATGTTGACGTCCCGTCTCATCTCCAACACTTTCTTTACGGCTGCATCTACTATACCAGTAAACCTATAGAGGTATTTGTATTTTATAAAACTCAATTTATTCATATAAAGCACAGTCACATTTTTTTCAACTTCTGTTTATATTCATAATTGTTATATCATTAAAGAACGTTTCAATATGCTGTGTTAGAAAAGTCATATATGATATCATTGATATGTCTAATTATAGATGCAACATAAAACTCCCTCATGGTTCACAAATTACATATCTATTTATAGATACTAACTCTCCATGTAATTGGCGTAGTGCAATGGCAGCCTGTACTTTTTCCGCGTGTTCACACATCACATGTCTATTTATAGATACTTACTCCCCATGTAATTGGCGTAATGCAATGGCGGCCTGTACTTTTTCCGCGTGTTCACACATCACATGTCTATTTATAGATACTTACTCCCCATGTAATTGGCGTAATGCAATGGCGGCCTGTACTTTTTCCGCGTGTTCACACATCACATGTCTTGTCAACATTCATGTGTCCCTTATGGTTACTAGATTTAGCTGCAATTTACAAGTATTCACTCTTTAGAAACAAGATGTGTTTGTAAAACACTGATGCCCCCGTATGGCAACATAGCAAAGATTAAGCTTTTCTTAAATGCAAATTTAATTAATTAGTACCAAAAGTAGGGTATTCTCACAGGAAAACAATTGTGAAATTTGAAAGTAAGCTAATGTAAAAGATTTTTAAATACAAAAATCTCCAAGGTCAAAAGGTCAATGTAATTAGTATCAAATGAAAGGTCTTGCCACATAAAATACTTTTGTAGAGCATGAAAGCCCTAGCCCTAACCGTTCAGAAGGTATGGTCAACGTTCAATTTCTTAAAAAGTAGGTCAAACTCCAAGGTCAAGGTCAAAGGGTCAAAGTTATTGTTATCAAATGAAAGGTCTTGTCATAATGATCAAATATGTTAAGTATGAAAGCACTAGCCCTAACTCTTTAAAAGTTATGGTCTAGGTTTGCTTTTTTAAAGTAGGTCAATCTCAAAGGTCAAGGTCAAAGGGTCAAAGTTCTTGGTATCCAATTAAAGGTCTTTTCACAAGGATTGCATGTATGAAGTATGAAAGCCCTATCCTTTACCGTTCAAAAGTTATGGCCCAGGTTAAAGTTTTTTTACAAGTAAGAAAATCTACAAGGTCAAGGTCAAATGATCAAAGTTGTTGTTATCCAGTGAAAGGTTTTATAACAAACATTACATATGTTAAGTATAAATGTCCTGGTATCTACTGTTCAAAAGATATGGCCAAAGTAAAATTTTCAAATTTTCATGTAAAAGTGGGTCAAACTCCAAGGTCAAGGTCAAAAGGTCAAATTTGGTGGTACCCAAAGAAAGGTCTTTTCATAAGGATCAAATATTTAAAGTATGAACGCACTGGCCCTAACTCTTTAAAAGTTATGGTCAAGGTTTGCTTTTTAAAGTAGGTCAATCTCAAAGGTCAAGGTCAATGGGTCAAAGTTCTTGGTATCCAATTAAAGGTCTTTTCACAAGGATTACATGTATGAAGTATGAAAGCCCCATCTTTTACCATACAAAAGTTATGGCCAAGGTTAAAGTTTTTTCACAAGTACTTAAATCTACAAGGTCAAGGTCAAAGGGTCAAGATTGTTGTTATCCAGTGAAAGGTTTTATAACAAACATTACATATGTTAAGTATAAATGTCCTGGTGTCTACTGTTCAAAAGATATAGCCAAAGTAAAATTTTCAAATTTTCATGTAAAAGTGAGTCAAACTCCAAGGTCAAGGTCAAAAGGTCAAATTTGGTGGTACCCAAAGAAAGGTCTTGTCACAAGGAATACACATATGAAATATGAAAGTCATAGCTCCACTAAATCAAAAGTTATGGGCAAGGTTAAAGTTTTTGCGGACAAACAGACAGAGAGACAGACAGACGGACATGACAAAAACTATATGCCCCCGAAACTTCGTTTACGGGGGCATAAAAAGATAAGGAAGTCCAATACTCAGTTGTTATAACATCATCTAATGTTGAAAATAGCAAAAAATGCACAAAATACAAAATAAGGCAATTAATTCAAGGCAAAATAAGTTTTCTCCATTAAAATTTAATACTTTTTTCTTACTTTAAAGAAATTCTCACCTGTTCCCAAAGACTCATCTTTTTGAGGAAGTTGATGACGTACTCGTGAGCGCGGAGTTTATCTGTCAGCTGATTGATGATGATTAGTGAAGTGGTGCTACTGGTGGCATCTAAAACAATAAATGATTATCAAGTTTCTGATAAAGACCACCACCACGAATCAATAATTCTTTGTACTAGTCACAATAAATGGTTGTTAATCTCTCATCAATACAAGAGGCCCATGGGCCTTATAGGTCACCTGAGCATCATGCAACAACTTTCAAATGATTGAATTTGGTTCATGTTTTAAGCTAGATGCTATGGCATTCACAATTCTGAAAGAGGCACCATTGCTATTCATAATTATACACTTAGCAATTGTTTAGTTTGTTTTCTTAATATGGATAAGCAGGGTAGGGGAACAAAAAAGTATGTCAACTAATCAGTAATATTCATCAATAATCAGGAGTGCTCCCACCACATATGAACCCCTGACCCTAGGTCTATACATTGCACAATTTTTGAAAAGGCATACTTGCTTATCAAAAATGTTTGATTAATACCAAGGAGCAGATTTCAAACAATTCTTTTTCAGTATATAAGTATAGCCCCCCCCCTCCCCATTTTGGTATCTCAGACCCAGGGGCCTTGAAATTTACAATTCTGGAAGAAGAGCCCATCCCATCATAACTATGTTAATAGTTCATTCTGCTTGTTACCCAGGAGTAGAAAAAAAGATTTTCATAGATGTAATGTATTTTCATCATATAATCATTATAGAGCCACATCCTAACACCATAACCCCTGACCCTGGGGCCATAAAATTCACAATTTTAGGTAGAAGCATTCTTGCTCATCATAACTATGTCCTTAAATAGATTATTCAATACTCAGAAGCAGAGAAGAAGATTTTCAAAGATTTAATGCATTTTCACTATATAATCAATTGAGCCCCACCCTAACACCAGAACCGCTGACCCTAGGGCCATGAATTTCACAATTTTGGTAGAGGCACTCTTGCTCATCATAATTATGTACTTAGTAAGTTTATCAAATACTCAGGAACAGAGAAGAAGATTTTCAAAGATTTAATGCATTTTCTCTATATAATCAATAGAGCCCCGCCCTAACACCATAACCCCTGACCCTGGGGCCATAAAATTCACAATTTTGGTAGAGGCACTCTTGCTCATCATAACTATGAACTTAATTAGTTTATTTAATACTCAGGAGCAGAGAGGAAGATTTTCAAAGAATTAATGCATTTTCACTATATAATCAATAGAGCCCCGCCCTAACACCAGAACCCCTGACCCTGGGGCCATGAATTTCAAAATTTTGGTAGAGGACTCAATGCTGATTACAATCATACCAACAGTTTGACTGCTTGATGTCTGGGAGTAAAGAAGAAGATTTTTAAAGATTGCACTAATTTTAGTGGTTTTTGCCCCAAGCCCCAGGGGGGCAGGGACCACGAAATTCACAATTTTTGTTCCCCTTTACCCATAGATGCTATATGCCAAAATTGGTTGAAATTGGTTCAGTGGTTTCAGAGAAGAAGCTGAAAATGTTTAAATGTTAACGCACGACAGACGACGATGGACAAAAACAGATAGCAATAGGTCACCTGAGTTACTCAGGTGACCTAATAAAAGGCAAAGATCCCATACCAGCCTCATAATCTTTTGCCCTTTAGCCTCTCACCTTGTCTCGACTCCGCCCACCGTGGATCGGAGGCAGGAAAATCATCCACGAGATCTCGGTCAAGGGAGACAACTATCTGATCTAAATCCGTGGACACTTCATCAGGGGGAAATAACTCATCAATGGTTGTCTGGGCTGCAGCCTATAGATATAATTATAATAATATAAGTATTATACTTCTACTGATTTTTTTTCTTTATGAAAAATTAAGTAATAAAATGGTAATAATTCCTTTGAAATCATGGTGAATGGAGTAATCCCTGTGCATTTACGAAATATAGTATCATTTTTTGAGTTTTATTGGGATGTAAAACAGATTGGTCACGTGATCAAATCCCTTAAAGCCCGAAGGGCTTTATGGAAACTTTGATCATGTGCCAACCCATTTTACATCCCAATAAAACTCAAAAAATGATACCTTATTACTTATATTTACATTTGTGACTTATTCATACTTTAAATTTGCCTGATTTATCCAAACGCACATCTATGACCTCTTGACCCCGTACCTGTATTTATACAGTTATAAAAATGCTTGCTTTCAGAAGTGTTAAATAAAGGAAAACATTTGCAAATGTAAATACCGGTATTAGTCATTGAGCTAATCCCTGCTTTGGAAGCTTATTCGCAGTTTTCTGTAATTCTGTAGATTTTAGTTTTTTATTGATATATGTTATTGGACTAACCACCGTGCATTAGTCAAGTGAGTTAATTCCCGCTCTGAAAGCTAATTCTCTGTCTTTCCAAATTTTGAATTTTTTTTAACTTTTGTACCAGTATAATTAAACAGTTAAAAAGTATATCATTGAGGGAGTTAGCAGGATTCCAGTTCCATTTAACCAGGGCTACTTCCCTTGGCTACACCTCAATTTAATGTTGTATTACAATTGATCAACTTGCAATGTTTCCCCTCATGGTCGCAATAAACGCAGACTTGAGTCGGGCCGTTCTGTCTTCACTCATAGACAATTCCTGCATTTTAGCGTGGCTGGCCGTCAATACAGACTACAAAGACATGACATTGAGCTGGGTTGTAACAGTACATTTTAGATATAAAGTATATTCAACAATTTCCACTGATAAAAGTGTATTACAGTGGTACTATTTTGTAGATGACAAAGGATTTCATAAAAATTACCATGTCCATTGTTGTGAGGTCTTGTGAAGGTTCCTCCATAATGCTGGAAATATCATAGATCATAATAAATTGATGCCAAGACATTTTTTTTACAAAAAGAAATGGGGAATTTCTATAACATGCCATTAATTGAAAAATAATTTATGAAGTAATTTCTGATAAATTGAATCTTAATTGTATATTACACATATATACATTAAAGTATTTCATTCTTCAAATGAAATATCTTCAAATTTTAAGTGTTCTGCACTTGCAAACTCTCTCTTCTTGAGATTATAAACCAGATCTTGAGGGCAATAGACATTAAAAAAAAACTCTAAAGTTTCCTAAAAGTTCATGTTCTCAATAATGTCATTTAAACCGCTTACCTGACTTCCTGTTTCTGTGGAGCACTGATAGAAAACAATCCCACACTGCCAGAGAAGAAAACTCCGACTCCATCACAAGATCCTAGGAAAAAATATTAATACAAATATGAGAGTATACCTAGTTACATGCACATCTTAGTAGTTTCCAGTTCCAATACATCTACATTTATCTCTGCCCATATCATCAAATTTCCAGTTTTTTTAAAAATAATAAAATTTGTAACTTCTTAATCATGCCTCCTTTTTACAAGTTTTAGTTCTTCAGTTGAAAAAAAAAATTATCAATGAAAAATATGCTTTGAGGCATCTTTGACTGAGCAAGGCTTTCAGATTTTGGAGAAACATTTTGTCTCAGATATCCCAGATTTACCTGCCCCCAGGATATGACCCCCCGGCTGCTGTAGATTTACTACCTCATTGGAAGGACCTGAAATATAAAATACCTGTATATAGTCTCTTCTATATTAACATGTCCATTTGTTAAGAGACAGGTTTTGTTAAAAGGATGTAACTGCTAAGAAAAAAGTATGAACAAGTAAAATATAATTTTTTTTTTCAAATTAAGATTGATTAAAGTTTAACTTCAGCCGATATGACCTGTTGGTAAAAGTTCAAGATATATATTCATGGAATTAGGATATCAAGGTTGAAACAAAACTTGGACCATTTTCAAACCTTGACATGCACCTGACATTTTATACGTCAATGCACTGAATAATTAAGTCCACATGATTGTCTTGTGCAGTGATAACTTTACCTGGTATAAACAGAATCTGGTCCCTGTTATAGATGTATGCAGTAGTTGTGGTAGGATCAGCTAACAACAGTTTATACTTCTGAAGGCTGTACTCAAAATCATCCTGTACAGCGATAGGAATAATAAAAGAACTTTTATATTTCTGATTTATCTCGCGATGCAGAGTGCTTTTCTTTTCCAGAAAGAGCAAAAGCCAGGTTGGGCCTTATTTGGCCCTGAGAATTTCTGAAAAATCAAAACCGCTCAGTTTGGGTTGCAAATGCAGTATTTATCACTTGGAGTGTTGGTGACCACGTATATATTAATCGTGACGTAATTTTCCATCTAGTCAATGCATTATGATGTCATAAAATGCGTCATTTTCCTCATATCCTGTAAATTCCTTTGAAAATGACCTAAATTTGAAGCATTTTTTCAATATTTCAAATAGAGCACAACCTCTGATCCAAAATATGCAAATACAAAATGAAAGCTCTGCTTCTGAAGATCAAAAACCATGTTTTCTTTTTTGGATCGTGGGCTGTGCTAAAATTTTTATTCTTTGCTGAAGGTAGTCAAATATGCATGTTTTCTACCAAATTTCAAGAACATTGCAATTTCTCAAACCTGTTTTCCAATATCTGGATTCTCAAAACGAAATTTTTTTTTTATAGAGAATGAAAGCACAAAATGTCTACTTTATTTTGATATATGAAATGGAAAAGAGGGTGATAATTAATTAATTGTTATAAGTACAGGGCAATTTTATGCATAAGATGGCTCTTGCTCTTTGTATATAATTTTATTTGTTTTAAAAAGTTGTACTGCACAAATTAAACAAAGACAAGTTCAGAAATACACTGTGACAGTTTTTTTCTTGTAATTATACCACAAATCAAAGTGCGTAAATCTGCAATTTAGTAGATCACCAAAGGTTCAAGTACATTCCTACAAAATGTCTTTATCAACATAGCTTTTTTTTTAAACAACATATAATAAATAGGATTCTGTTAGTAAATAGAACAAGTCATTTAGAAATGTTTTACCGAATATGTGTCCTTATATTCCAAAATCATCAAGCTCTCTAATTCACTGGGAGTTCCATTTATATCTGTATCCAAGAAAGCTGAAATAAACAAAACATGACTTTAACTTAAAGAGTCACTAACA